CCCCCTCCCCTCTCCCTGCCCCCCGGCCAAACACCGCCCCCCGCTCTGTGCATGGCAGTACACCTGTCCTCTCCTCATTCCGCGTCTCTTCATGCACAACCCTCCAAGCTCAAGCCCACAAGGTCACAACCGCTACAGTCACCATCGCAGCTGCAGTCTCCCTACTCCACGCCACTTCCCTTGCCGCAACCGCATGCACACGCACATCACCCACTGCAGTCAACGCAGCAGCCGCAGCAGCAGCAGCAGCATCAGCAGCAGCAGCAGCAATGGCAGCAGCCGCATCAATCCAACACAGCCCCGGGTGAAGCCCAGCCGCAGACACTCCAACCTCCACCCAATCTATTCCTCCAACCTCACCCTCACCCTCTTAACCCTTACCACGTGCAGCACCATCCACAGCAGCAACAGCAGCATTATCAGCATAAAGGAGCGTCCCAGCCCCCACTGGTGTCCCCCGTCGGCCCCCTTCCCCCATGGTGTGAATCACAGGCAACAACAGCAGCAGCATCACCAGTTGCACCAGCAGCAGCAGCAGCAGCAGCAGCCGCAGCAACTCTCATTACCGACCTCCCCAATGCTCCCTCTCGCTTCTCCCCCTTCCTCGTCTTCCAAATCCTTGCTCTCCTCCCTTTCACTCCCCCCTCGTCCCCTCGGTTACCCTCCAAGCCCGCCTCTCCCCTCCCTCTCCTAAGCCCCCAACCGCATTTCCCCTCATCCTCCTCCTCTCCATCTCCCCTCTCCTCTCCCTTCCCTCTCTCCTCTCCTCTCTCTTCGCCCTTAACCCCCACCATCTCCTCCCCTCTCCCTCCCCATCCTCCACCCCCCCACCTTTCCCCGTCAACCAACCTCGGTAAAAGAAATCTGATACAGTCACCCACGCCAGGCTCCATAACGTGGGGAGATCCTTCCTCTAATCAAGATGTGCTTACAACGGAAGCTGTGGATAGGGGTATGCCACTGCTGAACCTGGCAGGCATAGGGGCTGTGACTCTAACAGGGGCAGAGGGGAGGGTCGCCCTATGCAATCCGCCGGCCAATCGGATGCTCGGGGGGAGATTCTCGGCCAATGGGGTGGCTCCGGTCGGAATGCCAGCATGGCAGGTGGAACAGCGGGTGCTGAGTGATTTTATTGATGATGCGTCGCGCGCGGCTTTTGTGGTGAGTGAGTGGACTGGGAAGGGAGGGGTGGGGTGGGGTGGAAGGTTGGGGGAGCGGGGGGGGGGTTAGAGGAAAGGGCAGGTGGAAGGGCGGGCGGGATGAGCGATTTTATTGATGATGCCTCGTGTGCTGCTTTTGTGGTGAGTGTGGTGGGAGGGGAGGGGTGGAAGGCTGAGGGGGTGCGGGAGGAAGGGCAGGTGAACCGGCGGGTGGAAGGGGAGGAGCTTGCTGACGATGCCATGCCAGCCACATGTACCTCCTTTCGGGAGAGAGGGTTTTTCAGTGGCACGGGGAGAGGAGGGAATGAGGCGTGGTGGAAGGGCGGGTGAACGGGCAGGTGGGGGTAGAGGGAGGAGCTTGTTGACGAGACGATTCCACATGTACCGCCTTTCGGGAGAGAAGTTTTTTTGGGGGCATGGGGAGAGGAAGAGGTCTGATGGAAGGGCGAGTGCCCAGTGTTTCTGTTTATGATGCGTGGTGGCATGGTGCATACAGCAGGAGGTGCGCCATGTGATCTGGCTGGTATCACAGGCCCCTCTCCCCCAACCTCCCCTCCCCCCAGTCTCCCCTCCCCCTGGTCTCACTTTCCCCCAGTCTCCCCTCTGCCCGGTCTCCCCTCCCCCCAGTCTCCCCTCCCCCCGGTCTCCCCTCCCCCCAGTCTCCCCTCCCCCAAGTCTCCCCTCCCCCCGATCTCCCCTCCCCCCCCCCCCTGTTATCCCCGCAGTCCGACTACACCAGTGTGCAACGGTGTGGCACACCGCATACAGCAGGAGATGCGTTTTGAGTCGACCCAAAAGTCCCCTCGCCCTCGGTCTCCCCCCCCTTGGCTCCCCTCAGTCCGACTACACGAGTGTGCACAGCAGCACGGCGCGGCGCATACAGCAGGAGATGAGCACTCATTGAGTCACAGGCCCCTCTCCCCTGGTCCCCCCCATTTTCCCCTCCCCCTCCCCCCACACTCCCCCCTCCCCCCCCCAGTCCGACTACACCAGTGTGCACAGCGGCGTATCCCAGCGGATGCAGCAGGAGGTGAGAACTCAAGGAATCACAGGCCCTCTCCCCTCGTCCCCCCCCAATCCCCTTTCCTCCCCCCCGCCCGCACTCCCTCCCCCCCCTCCCCAGTCCGACTACACGAGTGTGCACAGCGGCATATCCCAGCGGATGCAGCAGGAGGTGAGGGTGCGCGCAGCTGACGGGGCCATCAGATGGGTGCGCCTCACATGCCACCGCATCACACACGCTAAGGCCCAGGCGCCTCAAAGCAGGCCAAACTGTGGTAACCTGGAGTCTACCTGTAGCCTCGATTCGCTTTTGGATGGTGGTGGGAAAGTGTTGGGTGGGGGAAGTAGGGGGGCGGCTGGGGAGGAGGGGGCAGCTGGTGAGGAAGGGCGGGAAGACGGAGGGGTTGACGCTTCAGCCGAGGCTGTTTTTGAGGCTCCTCGAGCATGGGCAGGGGAGGGGGCAGCTGCTATGGAAGGGCCGAGTAAAGGGCTTATTGAATCTTCAGCCAAGGCTGCACCTGATATGGCATCAGCTGAAGTGGGTGATGCTGGGGAGGCTGCAGCTGGGGAGGCAGCAGGTGGGGAGGCAGCAGCTGGGATGGGGAAGGAAGGGAAAGAGGCTGGCAGCCTTCCTGGCAGGAGAGGCAATGGGAGAGAGGTGCAGAGTGAAAGGGTTGGGGAGAAGGCGAGTGTGGGTGAGACAACGGATGAGGAGGAGCAGGAGGATAATGAAACGCCCAGCGAGGGGGAGAGAAGGAGAAGGAGGCATGAGAGAGCAGGCGATGGGGGAGGCGATTCTGAGAGGCGGATAGCAGGGGAGGAGGATGCAGAGGAGAAGGATGGGGAGGAGAAGGATGGGGAGGAGAACACGAGGAGAGGAGGGGAGGCGGAGAAAGAGGAGATTGGGAGGGGAGGAGGGGAGGTGAAGACAGAGGGAGAGGAGGAGAAGGAAGGGGAGGAGGCGAGGGAGGTGCAGGTGCTGTGTTTGCTGGAAGACATAAGCGACAGGAAGGCACTGGTACGTGGTGTGAGAATGAGGTTGTTTATAGCGGGTATGTGGTGTACCAGTGGTGTAGGAGGTGCAGGTGTTGTGTTTGCTGGAAGACATTAGCAACAGAAAGGCACTGGTATGCGGTGTGAGAATGAGGTTGCTTCTAATGGGTATGCGGTGTGAGATTGTGAGTCGTGACTGTTTTTTAATGGGTTTAAGGAGTGTTCCTGGTGTAGGAGGTGGAGATGCTGTGTTTGCACTGGTATTTGGTTTGAGGATGATGTTGTTTATAAAGGGTATGTGGTGTGCCTACCACTGGTGTAGGAGGTGCAGGCAGGTTCTGTGTTTGCACTGGTATGTAGCTTGATGCCTTGTGATATCATGTGAGTGGTTTCTTTTCTGGTATTGGTGTCCTTCATAGTTTACCTGATGATGTTTCTCCCGCTCCCCCTCTTCTCCCTGTCCACCCAAGCAGGAACAAAACATGTGGAAATACAAAATGATGGCGGAAAACCTCCCAGGCGGTGCAGTGCTTGTAACGAGGTCCCTGGATGGCACGGAGGAGGTGCTGATCAACGGCTCGGCAGCTCAGCTGCTGGGGTGCGGGCGGGATGGAGCGATATGTTGCAAACTTCCTCCCCTGCTTCTCTTGCTCTCTCCCTCACTCTTTCCTGCTCCTCCCCCTCACAGGAGCAAAACATGTGGAAGTAAAAGAATTTTGCCAGGAGGCGCAGTGCTGATCACCAGGTCGCTGGACGGCAGGGAGGAGGTGCTGATCAACGGCATGGCGGTGCAGCTGCTGGGGTGAGGGCGGGGGAACAAGCCAAGTGCCTGGTCTCTCCCGCACTTACTCATTCCCCCACCCGTTCCCCCTCGCTTTCTCCTCTCTCCGCCATTTCCCCCTTCTCCCTCGTTTCTCCCCCTCTCTTCTGATTAAAACAGGAGCTGAACATGTGGAAGTACAAGATGATGGTTGAGAATTAGCCAGGTGGCGCTGTGCTTATAACCCAGTCTCTGGACGGCAGGGAGGAGGTGCTGATCAACGGCATGGCGGCGCAGCTGCTGGGGTGCGGGTGGGGGAAGAAGTCAAGTGTCTTGCTTCTCTCTCACACATTCCCCCACCCATCTCCCCCGTTTTCTCCCTCCCCCCCCCGTTTTCTCCTCCCCTCTCCCCTTACAGGAACAAACCATGTGGAAGTATAAAATGATGGTGGAGAATCTCCCTGGGGGCGCAGTGCTGATCACCAGATCGCTGGACGGCAGGGAGGAGGTGCTGATCAACGGCACGGCGGCGCAGCTGCTGGGGTGCGGGCGGGGCGAGATCGACACCATGGAGAAGTGGTTCCGCGCGCTCTATGGCTGCGAGAACGCCGCTAAAGCGCAGCGCAAGTACGAGGGGCGGCGAGTGCGGGCTGCTCGCAGCAACGTCTTCAACACCGTGCTGCCTATTCGGGTGCGTCCCCCCTCTTGCTGGCTTTGCGAGTGCGGTCCCCCCCTCTCTGCCTATCCAGGTGAGTGTCCATATCTGTCCGTATCTGTCCGTATCTATCTGTAGCTGTCTCTACCGGTCTCGATCGACACCATAGAGAAGCGGACGCTGTGTCTTTGCGGGAACACAGTGCTCTATGGCCGCTGGAGCACAGCTAAGGCGCAGCGGAGGGGCGGCGGGTGGGCGGTGCTCGCAACAAGTCCTCAACATCGTGCTGCCCATCCGGGTGAATGAGAATTCATGTCTCTCTGTTTGTGCCCTACACATGGGCATAGCGTCGAGCCGGGCAAGCCGAGCCGGTTTTTTTTTACCCTGGCTCGGCTCGTCGCGCCCACTCTTGACGAGCCGGCGTCGAGCCGAGCCTTTCGGCTCGTCGGCGAGCCGGCGCGTAGCTGGAGCGGATGCCGCGCGATTCTTGCGGGCGAACAACAACGAGCGCCCTAAACTAAAGCCCAGCAATGTCCTGCCCAGCACATTCAGCTGCCGCACACGTTGTCATTTTTTAGTCGACTCAAAAGTCAGCTGCTGCACACGTTGTGATTTTTCAGTCGACTCAAAAGTAGGGATGAGCAAAACCGGGTAAATACCCGACCCGACCCGGTTTTGCCATACCCGACCTCGGGTCGGGTATTTTCGGGTCGGGTAATACCCCCAGGACCATTACCCGGATCCGGCCCTTAATGGGGGGTAATATAATACCCGCCAGGCCGATCCGGGTATACCCGACCCGGTTTAGGCTAAAAGCGGTTATTGCTACCCGCCCATGAAAAAATGCCCCCCAGGGTGGGCGTCGACAGCGTGGTATTTAAAAAACAACCTAAACTGGGCCGGGTAGCGTTTTTGCCAGCATGAGAGCGGCGGTACCCGAAGTCGGGTATTCAATACCCGGCGGGTCGGGTACCCGTTACCCGACATGATGGGTAAGATTTCGGGTAACGGGTATCGAATACCCGCCCGGGTAACCCGGACCCGACCCGTCGGGTAATTTTCAGGATTCCAGATACCGGCCTGCTCTAAAAGCGGATCCGGGTCCGGGTACCCGACCCGGGCGGGTAGTATGCTCAAGCCTACTCAAAAGTCAGCTGTGCACACGTTGTGATTTTTTAGTCGAGTCAGAAGCTGCTGCACACATTGCCATTTTTTAGTCGACTCAAAAGTCAGCTGCTGCACGCGTTGTGATTTTTTAGTCGACTCATAAGTCAGCTGCTGCACACGTTGTGATTTTTTAGTCGACTCAGAAGTCAGCTGCTACACACGTTGTGATTTTTTAGTTGACTCAAAAGTCAGCTGCTGCACACGTTGTGATTTTTTAGTCGATTCAGAAGTCAGCTGCTGCACACGTTGTCATTTTTTAGTCGACTCAAAAGTCAGCTGCTGCACACGTTGTCATTTTTTAGTCGACTCAAAAGCCAGCTGCTGCACACGTTGTCATTTTTTAGTCGACTCAAAAGTCAGCTGCTGCACACGTTGTCACTGCAACAACGTGTTCAGCACGTTCAGCTGCGTCCCCCTGGGGCCCTCTTCGCAGGCGTCTACTTGTGTCTCTCCGTGTCTCTCCGTGTCTCTCCGTGTCTGTGTGTCTGTGTGTGCGCTGCTCGCGGCAAAGGTGCAGTGGTGGAAGTACACTAGCAGATGATGGGATGAATGAGTTGGTTTTCTAGAGCCCTCAACGAACAACACTAGGCGTAGAGGAAGTACATCAGCACTTGATGGGATTTGGCAACATGTGGCTCGGCATAGACATCGCTGAGAGCTGCAGCAACCCCCAGTTTTCCCCACCCCATCTCATCCCATCCCATCCCATCCCACCCCATCCCACCCCATCCCATCCCATGCATGCAGTGTAAGGACGGCGCCAAGCTGCTGGCGGACGCCACCTCCTACTCGCTTGGCTTCGGCAGCACGTGCGTCGTGAACGACATAGCTTGGAGCCGCAACAACTGCCCCTCCCTCCTTTCCCGTGACCCACCCCACCCCACCCCACCCCCACCCCATGCCATGCCGTGCCGTGCCATGCCGTGCCATGCCGTGCCGTGCCATGCCGTGCCGTGCAGCGCCAAGCTGCTGGCGGACGCCACCTCCTACTCCCTGGGATTCGGTGGCATGTGGCTCGTCCCAGAGAGTCGCAGGAACTGCCCCTCCCTCCTTTCCCTTGGCTGATCCCATCCCGTACCATACCGTGCTTGCAGCGCAAGGACGGCTCCAAGCTGCTGGTGGACGCCACATCGTACTCCCTTGGATTTGGTGACATGTGGCTCGTCAACGACATCACGGAGAGCCGCAAGAACCAGTTCAAGTTCAAGATGCTCTTTGAGCTCTCGTCGGTAAGGAGGAGGAGAGAGCGCATGGCAATAGATGGACGTGATGTTAGAGTTGAGTGATGGGCGTGATGTTAGAGTTGAGTGATGGCGTGATGTTGAGTTGTTGAGTGATGGAGGTGATGCTAGAGTTGAGTGATGGAGGTGATGTTACGGTGGAGGTAATAGAGAGCGGAGTGCATGGTAATAGATGGACGTGACGACATGTGATGACACGTGATGCCGGGAGTGAAAGCTCTGATGGAGTGAAAGCTCTGATGGGAGTTGATGGAGTGAAAGCTCTGATGGAGTGAAAGCTCTGATGGAGTGAAAGCTCTGATGGAGTGAAAGCTCTGATGGAGTGAAAGCTCTGATGGAGTGAAAGCTCTGATGGAGTGAAAGCTCTGATGGTGAGCTTGATGGAGTGAAAGCTCTGATGGAGTGAAAGCTCTGATGGAGTGGAAAGCTCTGATGGAGTGAAAGCTCTGATGGAGTGAAAGCTCTGATGGAGTGAAAGCTCTGATGGAGTGAAAGCTCTGATGGAGTGAAAGCTCTGATGGAGTGAAAGCTCTGATGGAGTGAAAGCTCTGATGGAGTGAAAGCTCTGATGGAGTGAAAGCTCTGATGGAGTGAAAGCTCTGATGGAGTGAAAGCTCTGATGGAGTGAAAGCTCTGATGGAGTGAAAGCTCTGATGGAGTGAAAGCTCTGATGGAGTGAAAGCTCTGATGGAGTGAAAGCTCTGATGGAGTGAAAGCTCTGATGGAGTGAAAGCTCTGATGGAGTGAAAGCTCTGATGGAGTGAAAGCTCTGATGGAGTGAAAGCTCTGATGGAGTGAAAGCTCTGATGGAGTGAAAGCTCTGATGGAGTGAAAGCTCTGATGGAGTGAAAGCTCTGATGGAGTGAAAGCTCTGATGGAGTGAAAGCTCTGATGGAGTGAAAGCTCTGATGGAGTGAAAGCTCTGATGGAGTGAAAGCTCTGATGGAGTGAAAGCTCTGATGGAGTGAAAGCTCTGATGGAGTGAAAGCTCTGATGGAGTGAAAGCTCTGATGGAGTGAAAGCTCTGATGGACGTAATAGATGGTCAACTCGAATCGAGAGCTTGCAAGAGCCAGTTCAAGTTCAAGATGCTCTTTGAGCTCTCGTTGGTAAGAGGAAGAGAGCGCGAGGTAATGGATGGAAGCGACGAGTCGACTTCTTGCAGTCCACCACAATTCGCAAGGCAATGGATGGATGGAAGCGATGCTTGGGTCGACTCGAATCGAGAGCTTGCAAGAACCTGTTCAAGTTCAAGATGCTCTTTGAGCTCTCCTCTGTAAGGGCTCTTCTCTGTAAGGGCTTGCCTCGGTAAAAAGCGCATGGTGACAAGCATGGTGGCAGGCATGGTGACAGGCATGGTGACAGGCATGGTGACAGGCATGGTGACAGGCATGGTGACAGGCCAAGCTGATGCCTGGGTTAACTCGAAGCTAGAGCCACAGGAACCAGTCCGTGTGGATTCGCATCAAGGCAGGAACTCCCCTGCCCTGGAGGCAACAGCCGCAATACCCATACTGCCTTGGACCAACCTCGCCATTTTCCCTCCCTTGTACCCCCCCGCACTCGAAGCCCCTGCTTAGTAAGAATTGATGCGTGAGTGTTTGACAGCAGCCAGGCGGCCCAACCCACTATCGCCAATCAAGCACCCTGCCACCCATGTATTCCTCCTACCTCCCCACCCTCTCCCCCTCCCTCTCCCCCTCCCTCTCCCCCTCCCTCTCCCCCCCTTCTCCCCCCCACCTCTCCCCCCTCCCCCCCCTCTCTCCCAACCTCCCCAGGACCCGAAGCTCCTGCTGACCAAGGACCGGCGCGTGTTTGACAGCAACCAGGCGGCCAAAGCCCCTCTTGTCAAACAGACTCAAACACTCATCCCCTATTTCCTCGCTCTCCTCTCACCCCCCGTCCCCCAGTCCCCCCAGGTCCCAAAGCTCCTGCTGACCAAGGACCGGCGCGTGTTTGACTGCAACCCCTGCACAAACAAAGCAGCACATTAATTCACATCCCTCTCCCACCTTCCTCCCCCCAGGACCCGAAGCTCCTCTTGACCAAGGACGGGCGCGTGTTTGACTGCAACCAGGCGGCGGTGCGCATCCTCAAGTGCCCCACCAAGGAGTCGCTGCTGGGCCGCACGCCCTGGCGCCTCTCGCCCCTCCAGCAGCCCACCACCAACCAGCCTGCCTCCACTCTCAAGGCAATTCTCGCCCAGCTCGCCTCCAATCAACCCTTCACCCGCCCCTCGGGCACCCACCACCATGGCCTCTCACCCTCCGCTTCTCCCTTTCCCGCCACCACTGCCGCCACTGCCGCTGCTGCGTCCGGTTCGGCAGGAGGCTCGGCAGCAGCAGCGGATTCCGTTGCTGTGCTGGGCCTGGCGGCGGCAGACTCGGTGGGAGGCTCGGGGAACCGGTGGCGGCGGTTCGAGTGGGTGTTTCGGGACGAGGAGGGGGGGGCAGTACTCGTCGAAGTCCTCTGCCGCATGGTAGAATTCTTTGGGGAGAACGTGTACCTCATGGTGTGGCACGACATGGCCGAGGTGAAGCGGAAGGAAGCCGATCTGCAGCGCGCGAAGCAGGAGGCGGAGAAGGCGAGCCTGGCTAAAACCCAGTTCCTGGCGAATATGAGCCATGAGATCCGGACCCCGATGAACGGAGTCATCGGGGTGGCAGAGTTGCTGCTGGACACGCCCCTCTCTGACGAGCAGCAGATGCTGGTGGACACGATCCGGTCGTCGAGCCAGGGGCTGCTGCACATCTTGTCGGACATTCTGGATCTGAGCAAGATTGAGAACGAGAAGATGGCTCTGGAGTTTGCGGAGTTTGACGTGAGGGAGCACCTCCTCCACTCGCTCTCGCTCTACGAGATGTCTGCAAGGGACAAGAAGCTGCAGGTGGGTGGGGCTTGAGCCTTTTTGGCGCTGCAGTTGGATCAACTCTGAGCTTTGCGGAGTTTGATGTGAGGGAGCCCCTCCTCCACTCGCTCTCGCTCTACGAGATGTCTGCAAGGGACAAGAAGCTGCAGGTGGGTGGGGCTTGAGCCTTTTTGGCGCTGCAGTTGGATCAACTCTGAGCTTTGCCGAGTTTGATGTGAGGGAGCCCCTCCTCCACTCGCTCTCGCTCTACGAGATGTCTGCAAGGGACAAGAAGCTGCAGGTGGGTGGGGCTTGAGCCTTTTTGGCGCTGCAGTTGGATCAACTCTGAGCTTTGCCGAGTTTGATGTGAGGGAGCCCCTCCTCCACTCGCTCTCGCTCTACGAGATGTCTGCAAGGGACAAGAAGCTGCAGGTGGGTGGGGCTTGAGCCTTTTTGGCGCTGCAGTTGGATCAACTCTGAGCTTTGCCGAGTTTGATGTGAGGGAGCCCCTCCTCCACTCGCTCTCGCTCTACGAGATGTCTGCAAGGGACAAGAAGCTGCAGGTGGGTGGGGCTTGAGCCTTTTTGGCGCTGCAGTTGGATCAACTCTGAGCTTTGCCGAGTTTGATGTGAGGGAGCCCCTCCTCCACTCGCTCTCGCTCTACGAGATGTCTGCAAGGGACAAGAAGCTGCAGGTGGGTGGGGCTTGAGCCTTTTTGGCGCTGCAGTTGGATCAACTCTGAGCTTTGCCGAGTTTGATGTGAGGGAGCCCCTCCTCCACTCGCTCTCGCTCTACGAGATGTCTGCAAGGGACAAGAAGCCATGTGCGTAACGTAAGTAACCCCAGTTTCGTCAACGCCATCAAGTTCGCCTCGCCGGGCCGTGTCGCCGTTCCCTCCCCACCCTCACCTCCCCACCGCTTTCCTTCCACCCACCGCCCCCTTTTTAAGGCGCCTCAAAGGTATTTCCCTCCCCACCCTCACCTCCCCACCGCTTTCCGCCTGACGCTTTCCACCCACCGTCTCCCTCCCCCCTTTTCCGCTCAAGTCACATGTGAGCCGGGACGTGCCGCTCCGCGTGCTAGCTGATGCGGTGAGAGTGTGCCAGGTGCTCCTCAACCTCGTGTCCATCGCCATCAAGTTCACCATGGGGGGCCGCATCACCACTCCCTCCCCAACCTCCCCTCACCACCATTTCCACCCACCGCCCTTTTCCCCCCAATTCAGCTCAAGTCACATGTGAGCCGGGATGTGCTGCTCCGCGTGCTAGCTGATGCGGTGAGAGTGCGCCAGGTGCTCCTCAACCTCGTGTCTATCGCCATCAAGTTCACCATGGGGGCCGCATCACCACTCCCTCCCCACCCTCCCCTCACCACCATTTCCACCCACCGCCCTTTTCCCCCCAACTTCAGCTCAAGTCACATGTGAGCCGGGACGTGTCGCTCCGCGTGCTAGCTGACGCGGTGAGAGTGCGACAGGTGCTCCTCAACCTCGTGTCCATCACCATCAAGTTCACCACGGGGGGCCGCATCACCACTCCCTCCCCACCCTCCCCTCACCACCATTTCCACCCACCGCCCTTTTCCCCCAATTCAGCTCGTCACATGTGAGCCGGGACGTGCCGCTCCGCGTGCTGGCCGATGCAGTGAGGGTGCGCCAAGTCCTCCTGAACCTCGTGTCCAACGCCATCAAGTTCACGACTTGAATCCCACTTTCCGTCTTCCCCCTTCCCCGCCCCCCACCCCCTCCCTTCCCTCCCTCCCCTTTCAGCTTAAATCACATGTGAGCCGCGACGTCCCTTTGAGAGTGCTCGCCGACGCAGTGAGGGTGCGTCAAGTCCTCCTGAACCTGGTGTCCAACGCCATCAAGTTCACCACGCGGGGCCGCATCACCGTGCGCATCACCACCGTCGATCCCTCCGACACGGGCGGCAGCGGCGGGCGGCGGCGCGAGTCGTTCTCGTCCCTGGCGCCGCTGCTGCAGCTGGAGGAGCGGAGGGGGGGCACGTGGACAAGGTGCTGCTGAAATACTCGGTGTCGGACACGGGGATCGGGATCTCAAGCGACGTGCAAGGGAGCCTCTTCCAAGCATTTACACAGGTAAGCAAGGAGAGCATGTGGGTGGTGCCTTTACCCACAAGCAAGGAGAGCAAGGAGAGCAAGGAGAGCATGTGGTCCCTTGAGAGTCTTTACCCAGGTTCAAGCAGGGAAAGCGCTTGTCAGTGAGAGTCGTTCTCGTCGCTGGCACCGCTGATAGTGCTTTTGAGGCGCCTCAAAACCGTTCTCGTCGCTGGCACCGTTGATAGTGCTTTTGAGGACACGGGGACTGGCATCTCAAGCGACGTGCAAGGGAGCCCCTTCCAGGTATTTACACAGGTATGGTATGTGCGTCCAGGCATGTGGGTAGGGGGAGGGAGAGGGAGGGGGAGAGGGAGAGGGGGAGGGAGAGCGAGAGGGAGAGGGAGAGCAGGCACTCACATGCAGTGAATAGATAGTGGCTCAGCATGAGGGCGAAGTGCGGCTAAAGTGGTGCCTGCCTGGCAATCGGCAAGACCCTGGTCGATCTGACGGAGTGGGGGGGGGGGGAGTTCTGTGCCTATTGTGAGGATGGCACTTCACCGTACATCCCATCCCATGCTCTCCCACCCCCTTTCGCAGTGACAATACAGGAGCATTTGTGCGACTGGCTTGGCTCTTCACTGCACATCCCATCCCATGCTCTCCCACCCCCTTTCGCCGTGACAATACAGGAGCGTTTGTGCGACTGGCTTGGCTCTGCGTGTGACAATACAGGAGCGTTTCTGGCAGCCTGCAGTTCACTGGGCAGCATTCAGCCATTCCCCCCCCCAAACCAGCTGATGGGGGGTCTGCTTTTGAGCCGACTCAAAACCAGCTGATGGGGGGTCTGCTTTTGAGCCGACTCAAAACCAGCTGATGGGGGGTCTGCTTTTGAGCCGACTCAAAACCAGCTGATGGGGGGTCTGCTTTTGAGCCGACTCAAAACCAGCTGATGGGGGGTCTGCTTTTGAGCCGACTCAAAACCAGCTGATGGGTCTGCTTTTGAGCCGACTCAAAACCAGCTGATAGGTCTGCTTCATTCAGCCCTTCTCTCCATCTTTTCCAAAGCCCCCCCCCCCCTTCTCTCCCTCCCTTCCCTCCCTCCGTTCTTCCCCCCTTTCCTGCCTTCCCATTCCTGCCTTCCCATTCCTGCCTTCCCATTCCTGCCTTCCCATTCCTGCCTTCCCATTCCTGCCTTCCCATTCCCGCCTTCCCATTCCTGCCTTCCCATTCCTGCCTTCCCATTCCTGCCTTCCCATTCCCGCCTTCCCATTCCTGCCTTCCCATTCCTGCCTTCCCATTCCTGCCTTCCCATTCCTGCCTTCCTATTCCTGCCTTCCCATTCCCGCCTTCCCATTCCTGCCTTCCCATTCCTGCCTTCCCATTCCTGCCTTCCCATTCCTGCCTTCCCATTCCTGCCTTCCCATTCCTGCCTTCCCATTCCTGCCTTCCCATTCCCGCCTTCCCACTCCTGCCTTCCCATTCCTGCCTTCCCATTCCTGCCTTCCCATTCCTGCCTTCCCATTCCTGCCTTCCCATTCCTGCCTTCCCATTCCCGCCTTCCCATTCCTGCCTTCCCATTCCTGCCTTCCTATTCCTGCCTTCCCATTCCTGCCTTCCCATTCCTGCCTTCCCATTCCTGCCTTCCCATTCCCGCCTTTCCATTCCTGCCTTTCCATTCCTGCCTTTCCATTCCTGCCCTGACAGCGAGCCTTTTTTTTAGTTGACTCTAAAGTCATCCCTTTTCCCCCCCTTCGCATTCATGCTTGTGCAGGGTGTTTTTGAGAATCCCTTTTCCCCCCTTCGCATTCATCCCCTGCCTGCAGACAACACTACTCTTTCCTTCCCACATGCGTCCCCCTTCCTTCTTCCCACAACCCCAGGCTGACAACACAACGTGCCGTCAATTTTGCGGCACAGGCTTGGGTCTGTGTGGCTAAAGGCTCTTGTCATTCTGATGGGGGGTGAAATCTCAGTGTCTAGTGAGGCGGGCAATGGGTCAACCTTCCTGTTCATCCTCCCCTCCTCCCCTCCCCTCTCTCCCCCCTTCCCCTCCTCTCCTCCCCTCTCTCCCCCTCCCCAAACCTTGAGGAGCTGCAAGGAGCTGGTCAACCTTGAGGGGGGGCGAAATCTCGATGTCGAGCGTGGCGGGCAATGGGTCGACCTTTGAGTTCCTCCCCCCCCTCCTCTCATCCTCCTCCCCCCCTCTTTCCCCATACCAGGCTGACAACACGACTTGCCGCCGCTTCGGAGGCACGGGTCTAGGTCTGGCTATCTGCAAGGCGCTGGTGAATCTGATGGGGGGCGAAATCTCAGTGTCGAGCGTGGCGGGCAAGGGGTCGACCTTTGAGTTCACAGTGTGTGCGGGAGTGAGTGAGGATGTGGACGAGTGTGAGGCAGTTAGTGAGGGGGAAGAGGAGGAGGAAGATGAGTATGATTGGGTGTACAACAGTGAGGAGGAGGAGGAAGTGGAGGGCACAGATGGTGGTGATGATGAGGGGGAGGAGGGGGAGGAAAATGATGGTGATTCAGGTTCGGAGGAGGCCGAAGCTGAGGACTACTCCCGCCGTCGGACCACCCGAACCTCCCTCGATTACCGAGCCTTGACCGTTCGAGGCTCCTTAGGCCTCCCGGTCCGGAGCCGAACCGTCGGCGCAGCTTCGGCAGCAAATTCGCACCCTCCAAAGCTCAGCATACCAGGCACAGGTTCGGGAAGCCGCAGCAAGAAGAATGCAAACCGTGTAACCAACGGGGGAGCCGGAGTCTCAGCAGGTTCGGGCCAGACGTCCAGCCGAGGCATGGCAAGCGCCGGACCATTCTCTCCCACCACTATTGCCCAAGCCAACGCTTCCGCTGCGTACAGCTCTGGTGGTGCCGGTCCTACCAGTGCTGCTTCTGCTGCCACCAAAGCTGCTGCCAGACCTACAGGTTCGGTAACCAGCGTCGGGAATACGAGCGGCCGAAGCATGGGCGGGCGGCGTCGTTCGTTTGAAGAAGCAGCCCCTGCGCTCCCGGCAGTAGCGCGGCAGTGGAGAGTGCTTGTAGCAGAAGACAACAAAGTGAACCAACTAGTGGTAACCCGCATGCTCAAGAACCTAGGGCTGAGATTTGACGTGGTGGATAACGGGGTGCAGGCGTTGGACGCGTGTCTGAAGACACGGTATGATCTGATCCTTATGGACTGTCATATGCCTGAGATGGACGGTTTAGAGGCTACCAGGAGGATTAGGAAGGCTGAGGCGGAGAGGAGCTGTCGGAGCGAGTGGGAAAGTCGGAGCGATGGGGGGAGTGGGAGTGAGGGGGAGAGTAGGAGTGATGGTAGTGACGGGGAGGGTTTTGGGAGGCGAAGGGGAGGTGGGGGCGCTGCTGGGGCAGCGGGAACGGCTGCTGTGGCGGCTGCTGCTGCTGCTGCTGGGCTGGGTAAGGATGGAAGAAGTAGCAGCAGTGGTGTTGGTGGCGTTATGAAGAGACACAGCAGCTTTGGGAAGTCAGTGGCTGCAGCAGTGGCAGCAGCAGCAGCAGCAGGAATCGGAGGGGGAGGAAGCAGCAGGGGAGGCAGTGGTGGTGGTGGCAGTGGGGGTGGCAGTGGTAGACTCAATGTGAGCGAAAAGGGCCCGGGGAAACGGTTGGGGGAGCAGCGGTTGGGGGAGCAGCAGTTGGGGGAGCAGGGTTTGGGGGAGGAGCAGTTGGGGGATCAGGGGTTGGCGGAGGAGCATCGGGCGGTGTTTATAGCGGCGCTGACTGCGAGTGCATTTGACTTTGAGCGCGAGGCGTGCTTTGCTGCTGGGATGAATCACTTTCTCACCAAGCCCATCCGCCCAAAGGACCTTCAAGAGCTCTTCCTCTCCCTCGCCAACTCATGAGACGTGGCGAGAATGGTTGACGTCTGGGGCCCTGTTGTCCATAGTGACTTCCTCACCAAGCCCATCCGCCCCACGGACCTCCAGGAGCTCTTCCTCTCCCTCGCCAACTCATGGCATGCAGCGAGCCATGAGACGTGGGAAGGCGTGCTACCAAGGGTCACGTGAGCCTGGCTCGTAGGGCTCACTTCTGCACCAAGCCCATCCGCCCCACGGACCTCCAGGAGCTCTTCTTCTGTCTCCCTCGCCAACTCATGAGACGACACGAGAGGACATGAGAGGACACGAGACGAGACCACTTGAGGCACATCCATCAGTGGGGTTAGTTGCAAGTGCTACCGAGGGTCATTAGAGGCTGGCTTGTCGGGCTCACTTCCGCACCCAAGCCTATTTCTGAGGCGCCTCAAAAATAGACTGCTCACTTCTGCGTACCAAGCCCATCCGGTCCGGCCCACGGACCTGCAGGAGCTCTTTGTCTCCCTCGCCAACTCACAAGGGAACAGGGGTTGGGGGAGCAGCAGTTGACATGCGGAGTAGCAGTTGACACGGGGAGCAGCAGTTGACATGGAGAGCAGCAGTTGACATGGGGAGCAGCAGTTGACACGGGGAGCAACAGTTGACACGGGGAGCAGCAGTTGACATGGGGAGCAGCAGTTGACACGGAAGGACATGAGACAAGGTGGCACCTGGCAAGATACGAGACTGTCGAGCCGTTTCAAGTGCTGGGAGGCTGGGAGGCTGGGATTAGTGGTTTTTTTTGTGGGCGTGACGAGTGGCGTGATTTGCGCCGAGTTCATTCATGGCATGTGGCATGATAGATGCGTGTAGACCTTCCAACCAAGGCAGGTCGGGCAAAGAGCAGCAGCCAGGGAGAGCAGCAGCCAGGGTGCATTTGGCGTCTATCAGCAGCAATGGCATGGTCATCCTCCGTTGTCAGCAGCAGCAGTGGTGGCAGCAGTGGCAGCAGCGGCAGCAGCAGCAGCAGCAGCAGCAGCAGCAGCAGCCTCAGGAGCAGCAGCCGCAGCAGCAAGGATGCACGTGGCTTCAATTGGCAGCAGTGGAGATGTCATTCACCATTGGCAGTAGCAACAGCAGCTTCAGTAGCAGCATCAAGTATAGCGGCAGTGGTAAAGGAAGCAACGAAGGCAGTAAAGGCAGTGGCGACTGCATAAGATCGTGAGGCAACATTGGCAGCAGCAACTCCAGGTTTAGCAGCTGATGCAGCAGCAGCAACTGCATAGGAAGCAGCGACTTGTGCCAGGTGGTGCCCAACTTGGGACCACTCGTTATGTTCTAGGTTGTGGAAAGAAATAGGGATTCTCCACTACAGCATGAAGGAACGGTCAGTATTACTGCTGGCCTTTTGCTCCCCTAGCCTAGACTTCTGGTGCAGCCTGTGGCACAATATATCAGTTCCACATGCAGTAGTTTTAGGTGTACAGAAAGTGTGTAAGAGTAGATGTGTGTGGAAGTGTTCGCATGCTCGTTATCGTTGTTTCTTCTACCATGGTTTGGTTCTGTAAACGCATGCTAGTATTTGTCAGACTGCTACAGCAGGTCATGCTCTTTTCAGCAGCTCTAGAGACTATTGGTTGTATCACCCCAATTGTTTCATTACTTTGGTACAAATACGAACTTTATAGGTCGATGTGTTTCCCTTACGGTAGATCTTCCGAAGCCGTTTTCCGTGTAGCTCGTTTCTCTGACACCGTTCGACAGCTGTCAGGGCGCTTTTCCCGCCCGTTCCTGCAAGTGCCGCACCGCGTTCTGAGTCTGCGTGTGCGTCCCCAAGCCTACCCGTTGGCTGGCATTGACAATCGCCCGCAATTGGCAGCGACACCCCATCAAGATCGATTCTCCAACCGATCCCCCTCGTGAATCTCGAGACATCCTTCACTGACGGAACATGCTTGACGGAACGACATCATTGACGGACTTTCTTGGTGGCACTGCGTCAGGCAAATGACGAACTCTGACTGACCACAAACCCGATCAGCCGCAGACCGTCTGATGTTTGAACGCTTCGCGCCGCGTTTGTCTCATCTGGCACCACCCACACCATTTTCCATACCATGCTTCCATCCCCTAGGGATTTTCTTCTTTCTTTTGGGATCATCCTCTATCGTCGAGTGCGTGATCAGGTCCTCATCTTGATGCTTCGTGAGATTTCTTAGGAGTCGCCATCCTCGTTAGACATCTAATTGCCGGTGGCGACAAAAGTTCCGTTTACTGCGCATTAGTAGTTTTCTCTTCTCCCCGAGAAGATTACTACATACATAGTTTCTGTTCGTGACCCAGGACTTCGTAGCTGGAGAATCTTGACGTCGTAGTTTCTGACCGAATTCAAGCTCTTAGACAGGCGTTCAGCGTCGTAACGTGATCCGAGGGCTCCATCATATGACGTAATATCCAAGCTGGGAAGCTAAGAGCAGAGAAACTAACAGCACCTTTACCACCCTCCTTTATTCTGGAATTCGCTTTCAGAACATCCCTTAAAACGATGCCGACTCCCTTTGTCTTTGCAGTAGTTTCTTTACTCCTCATCATCCCGTCTCCTGGAACAGCCTCAGGCAATGTCGGTAGCAGATCAAAAACGTATCCGCAGTGCTTCACAGGAGCTGAGAAGGACTCGAATCATGGCCGACTAGATGGCGTTAAGGTGTTCGGTGCTGGCATCGAGCCGTCCGTGAAGCTGAACCAACAGCTCTGCTTCAAGATCGCTGCAGAGGTAAGCTGGTTTTCCAGAATCTCCGAGAACCAACTCTGCTGGCATCAAGCCGTCGGTGAAGCTGAACCAGCAGTTTTGCTTCAAGATCGGTGCGGAGGTTTTCAAGATCTCGTGTCATTCTTGACATCATCGTGGATCGTCATGAGATTCATTCTTATGATGGTTTGCAGTCTAACCGCTGCATCTGCTGTATCAGAAACAGCTATTCAGCCAGACATCTCTCTTATCATTGTCACGGCTTCTGGGATGATCCTCTCTGCAATGATCCGTCATACGAACATCAGCTGCTTCACCATAACCAAATATTTCCCTCAACCCGCTATTTTGGACAAACTTCACATTATCCACGCTTTCCTACACGTTCACGCTTCAGTCACCGTTCTTTCTCTTGCAAAGCTCAAAAAGCCGTTGCCTGGGCAAACTCGCTCCGACCACCACGCGGAAAGCACTCCTTCACTCCGAGGACGTCCCATCCTCAATCCCAAAACGTGTAAGAAAGCGTTCCATTCCCCGCATGTTTCCGCCACCCTTCCCTCTGATCGCAGGATTCTAAGGGCCGTCGCCTGGACAAGGGTTGCTCGCCCCCCACGACCACGTGGGAGGTGCTGATTCATTCCTCCGACGGCCGGATTCGACTCAGCGCGCCTGTCACGCACGCTGCAGAGGACGGGTACCACGTGGTGCGTTTGCTAAGGGGTTTCGGGGCTTATGATGGCATTTAGTCCCGCGTATCTTCTGACAGAACATTCATCCTGACTTCCAGTTTAACATCTAGCCTGACATGCAGCCTGACACGCAGCCTGGCGTGCAGCCTGACATGTAGCCTGAACGAGCTCAAAAGTCCTCCGAGTCAACACTTCTGTCCTGTACCCCCAGTCATGCTACCAGTTGCTGGAGCCAGGCGAGTACGTGGTCTCGGTGTACCTGACAGGCGGGCATGCTGCCTCACTGACGGGCAGCAGATAACTGGCGTGTGATGTGGCTGTTTGGTCAATGATCTTTTATCCCCCCTATCCCTACCTCCTCCCTATCCCAGCCGTGCTGCCCTCTAGTGAAGCCAGGCGAGAACGTGGCCTCTGTGTACCTGACAGGCTACATGCCGCCGCACTAACTGGTGTATATTGGCTGCTTGGTGTTCTAGCCTTTATGCTTCTCATCCCTGTTTCCTTTTCCTAACCACCAGCCATGCCGCCGGCTGCTGGAATCAGGCGAGTACGTGGTCTCGGTGTACCTGACAGGCGTGCATGCTGCCTCACTGACAGGCAGCAGATAACTGGAGTGTGATTTGGCTGCTTGGTTTTTTATCATTATCTCCCCTATCCCTACCTCCTCCCTGTACGCCCAGCCATGCTACCGTCTTTTGGAGCCAGGCGAGTACGTGGTCTCCGTGTACCTGACAGGCGTGCATGCCGGCTCGCTGGCAGGCAGTAGGGACAGGGGCGAGGCTCTGAGGCACCTCAAGTTCCAGCTGGTCGGCCAGTACAACGTGTCTGCTCAGGTAGGGATGCAAGGTGCACAGGTATGTTGCCTCGGTGTGCCTGACGGGAGTGCGTGCTGCATCACTGACGAGCTGCAGGGACAGGGACGAGGCTTTGAGGCACCTCAAGTTTCAGCTGGTCGGCCAATAAAAAGGTGCTTGATGATTTTTGAAACGTCTTACAAGTTGGTTGGCTAAGGCAGCGCGACAGTGCATGTAGATGCCAGCTTATCATTGAAGCTGGTGCAGAGGGCAATGGGGACGATCGTCTTTGCAAGAATTAACTGAATACTCCACGATTTTTTTCCCCTTGTTTGAGGCACCTCAGAAGTCGATTTTTTTCCCCTTGTTTGTGCATGCAGCCATCGGATCCGGAGGCATACGAAGAGGAGTATGGTCGTGTTCAGGCGTCTCTACCAGCGTGCACAGCGCAGCTGCTGGAGGAATCGAGGAACGCCGGGCGGTGGATTGACCAGCAGTGGTTCCCCTATGCGTGCTCTGTCCAGCACATCACCCCCAGGTAAGATTTGCTCCTGATTCGCCTCAAATGCAAAATCCCCTGCGCATGCAATGCCAGGCCCATCACCCCCAGATGAAATTGCTAATAAGTAGCTTTTCATGTCAGATTCAGGGGTGTGCTTTTAGGGGTAGATCAAACAGAGGTGACTCCTCCCCTATACGTGCACCCGTCAGATGAATCGCTCGTAGCAAGCGTGTCGGTTGAGTAAGCACCGTTCAGTCAGTAGCTGCTCGTTTCCCGCATGCTCACTCTGACACATCGACACGTCTCAACTCCATCTTCGTTGGCCTGTCTCCCCCCATTTTAGCAGAGCTGTGCGCGCGTTTTTTAAGGGCAACCGCCCGCTGGCAGTGGGAGGCAGTCAGCAGTGGCTACTCTTCTCCCACATTTGCTGAATCGTTTCAACACCATTTCGCATGCCCGCTCCTTCCCCCTTCTACCAGTGCTGCACGTGCGTGTCTGAAGGGCAAGCGCTTGCTGGTGGTGGGCGACAGCCAGCAGTGGCTGCTCTTCTCCCACCAGCTCAATATGAGACATCTCAATGGCCTTACCCCGCTGACCCTCTCCCATACCCACCAGTGCCGCACGCTCCTGCCTTAAAGGCAAGCGCCTGCTGGTGGTGGGTGACAGCCAGACGTGGCTGGTCTTCTCCCACCTGATTATCCTGACACGTCTAAATCGCAATCCCCTCTCTGATCTGAACCGTCTCCGCTGTCCCCCCTTGTCCCTAACCTCCAGTGCTGCACGTGCGTGTCTGAAGGGCAAGCGCCTGCTGGTGGTGGGCGACAGCCAGCAGTGGCTGCTCTTCTCCCACATGCTCGCCTTCCTCTCCTCCTCCTCCCGCTGCCGCCTCCTGGAAGGCCTTGGGGACCGCCGCTCCTCCATGGTCCGGCTCCGCTGTGACAAGGTGCGTGCTGGGCTGAAGGGAGGGAAGCGAACAGACAAGGTGACAAGCTGGGCTGATGTGACAAGGTGCGTGCTGGGCTGATGTGACAAGGTGCGTGCTGGGCTGATGTGACGAGGTGCGTGCTGGGTTGAAGGGAGGGAAGGGCATGGCCAAAATGACAAGGTGCGTACTGGGTTCTGAATTGCTGGGTCTGCATTGCTAGGTTCTGCAATGCTTGGTTCTGAATTGCTGGGTTGCTGGGTTGCTGGGTTGCTGGGTTGCTGGGTTGCTGGGTTGCTGGGTTGCTGGGGAACGTTAGAGAGAGGGAAACAGAGATCTTACATTGCATGCCTTTCCCTGGCCGTCAGGCTCAGAAAGGTGGCCTTCGAGCCGTGTCTTATGCCCTCCTGCGCTGGGTGTCTCAGAAAGCTGGGTTAATCATACGCTGCGTGTTTATGCCCTCCTTTTCTCCCACCTTCCTAATCCCACCAGGCGCACATGCAGGGGCCTGTGCCGTGGGTGCCAGGGTCAGAGGGGCAGCACATAGCCGTGCACCACACTCGCTTCGCCCCCACTGTGGCTGCCACCTACTATGGCGCCGAGGGCAACGGATTCGCCGTTGCAAGGTACATTGATATGCTTAAGGGCGTGGGCGGTGCTGTGATGGGGGAAGGGCTAACTGGTGCCTCTATCCTTTCTTGCTTTCCTGCTGCCCAACTTTAATTCGCTCATAGCTCAGTCATGCCAGGACCAGATGCCAGTGCATGACCAGGTTAGTCTTCTGCATCCCTCAGCTGTTCGACCTCTCAATCCCCACCTCATCCCTTCTCCCATTGCCATATCCCCCTCCCTTTGCATCCTTCGCTGCTTGTGCTCTCACCCGAGCAGGATCCCAATTCCAACCCTACCCCTACTCAAATTGCCCCTCTTCAAATTGCCCATTCCTCTTCAAATTGCCCATTCCTCTTCAAATTGCTCCATTCTCCTTCCTTACCACCTGCGCTTCTGGTGCCTCCTACCCAAGCAGGATCCCAGTGGATCTGAACGCAACCACACCAGCAGCAGCTGTTCTCAACGAGAGGAAGCGCAGGCGGGACCAGGATCAACTACTCGAATCAGCCGATCAGGCGCAGACGGGCGGTGCAGGGACTCCAAGCAGCAGCAGCAGCAGGTGGAGCAGTGGTGGGAAACGGGGAGGAGTGGAGCAGTACGATTCAGTGGAGGGCCGGGAGGTGCTTGACATGACAGCTACAGACGAGGACCCTCGGGATCTCCACACCGCAAGCAGGATCCGGGAGTGGGAGCAGGAGAGGGAGCGGCAGCGGGCGGCGGATGCCGACCAGATCGTAGCGGTGTTTGTGGCGCATTCCAATGCGTCAGAGCCGCTGTACAAGGAGTGGATGGTGAACCACACAAGGAGGGGCCCTCTGGCCAATGAGCATGCGCCGTTTGACTTCGTGCTGGCGTCCAGCGGGCTGCATGACCTGTCGGCATTTGACTCGCCGGAAGAATATGCCGCCGCGCTCGGTGAGAATCCTCTGGGTTGGGGGATGCCCTGGGTTGGGGGATGCCCTGGGTTGGGGGATGCCCTGGGTTGGGGGATGCCCTGGGTTGGGGGAATGCCCTGGGTTGGGGGAATGCCCTGGGTTGGGGGATGCCCTGGGTTGGGGGAATGCCCAGGCTCTTACATGGGCATGAACCATCCATGGAACTATTACAGTAGGTGAGCATCCTCGTCCAAGGATCCAATGCCTGCAAATCCAGATGGTAGGCGGTAGGCGCACATGCATGCTTCATTTTGATTCAATCCATGTGTGTGGTCGATCCATTCAGAGTGTCATGTGTTAATTGCACATTCTTTCCTTTTCCCCTCGAAATTGCAGACCGTGAGTTTGTGGCATCGGTGCGTTTTGCTGTGAATGGCGGCATGGGAGGGCCGGGTTCGGCAGTGGTGTGGTTGGGGCCATGGGCGGTTCAGCAGTCAGCTGTGGCACCCGAACTGCTGCCATCTATGAATCATGCTCGCCTCAATGCGTTTGACAGTGCTGCACGCAGGTACGTACGGACCCTGCTTGCTCCTTCTATTGTGCTCACTTTCTGCATTCCCCATTGTCACTCTTTGTTTTGATTCATTAACCAGACTCCTCAAGAGAATGCTGGACACGGCTGTATATGCTGCTAATTTTGCCCTTTCTTTTTAATGCGCAGCCTTATCAATTCGTGGAAGGTCCCCTTCATCTCAACCATACCAATGACACTATCAAGGCCAGACCTGTCGAAAGATGGCATGCACTATTCCTGGCCTGTATCCATGGCTTTGTTGGAGCTCTGGCTTGGTTCTGTTTGCCCTGCACAGCCCACAATCAAGGATTGTTGATATGTGGTGTTTCTCACAATCGAATAAGCTTTATTTCACATTGTGTAACTGATGCGCTGCTTGTAATGAAGTTAGCACTTTGCATGAGTTGGCTAGCTAACTTAAGAGATATGTGGCATGAGTGAAATATTTGTGTATGCGCTCGTCACTACATGAACCATATACCGCTCCATGTTCCTCGGGCTTTCATCATGGCTCAATAACGAGGATCAGAAGAGGCAGCATGCAGCACTGATGATGACATGATGACCGGGAGTGGTGGCGAGCATTGTTGCTTGGTGTAAAATGCTTTCTCTGTGGTTCGGTACGGTGACAGCTGCGGCCAGTGAATGGTTCCTAAAAAACTCTGGAGCTTTCCTCACCCACTGCCATAGCTCCTTCCCTGCCTCGCACACCAGTCTTTAGAGGACTTAGGGCTCTATTTTTAGTGTCCATCTCGCTTAGAGGTCGGCATTTTAGTCGTAGGCTCGCACGCTGATTTCTGCCGTCGTGCACTCCGTCGAAGGGTTTGTGTGTTGTCGCCGCGATCAGTTGCGTGCAAGTTGAGGTTGTTGGACTTCGTTCCTTGGCGTTGGTTGGAGCCGTGTCGTCGTCTCTACTTCGCTTGCTCCTGCGTTCTCCTCGCTGTCTTCCTAGACCGCCTAGAGAGGGTTACGCTCACTCCAGATCAATTCCCAAATTTAGAAGAACCACAGTTTCGATCTTCAAGTCCTCGTCGTTTTTAGAGCCATTGTCGTCTTAATCACCCTTGGTTGACCATAATCTCCTTCAGATGTCGTCCCTGCTCGCGAACCTCCCGTCTCGGGGGAATTTCTCCGCAGCAGCGTGCACGCTGTCGTCGTCGATCCCGGTGTACATATGCGACCATGACACGTCTCCGCCGTCCGATCAGGTCATCACCACCGATCCGACGAACATCCTGCTCCGCGCGCTCACTATGAAGAAGACTCGCGACGCGGAGGCGGCGAAGGCGGCGCAAGAAAAGGGGAGGAAGATAGTATCCGGCGCTGCTGGTGCTTCCGGTGCTGCTGGTGCTGCTGGTGCTGCTGGTAATTCTGGTGCTGCTGCTGCTGGTGCTGCGGGTGCTTCTGATGCTGCTGCTCACGAAACCAGACCACGGCAATCGGCGGTGCAGGATAGAGGGAAGCGGCCTGCCACCGGGGAGCCTGGTCACGACGACGCAATCGGTTCCTCTAGACCCGGCGGGAGACCAGCGAAGCGCGGTCCTGGCGTGGGGGGGAGCAGCAGCGGCGGGGTTGAGCAAGATCGGGAAGCGGGGCGGACTGTAAGGGGGATGACGAGTGAGCGGGACGTGGATGGGCTGACCGTCGAGCGGCTGCGAGCGTGCTTGAGGGAGAAGGGGCTGTCGATCCGGGGGAGGAAGGAGGAGCTGGTAGCTCGGCTCAAGCAGGCTCTGGACTTCAACCAGCAGTAGAAGGGAGCTTCTGAGTCGACTCAAGAGTCATCTGCGAGCGTGCTTGAGGGAGAAGGGGCTGTCGATACGGGGGAGGAAGGAGGAGCTGGTACCTAGACTGAAGCAGGCTCTGGGATTTAATTAGCATGGGTGGGAGCTCCTGAGAGTCCGACTCAAGACTCATATGCGAGCGTGCTTGAGTGAGAGCTGGCTCCTCCTTCCTTCCTCCCCATGAGCGTGCTGTCGATCATGGGGAGGACGGAGGAGCTGGTAGGTAGCTCGGCGCAAGCAGGCTCAACCACCAGTAGGGGAAGCTAGGCGGAGCGATACGGTAATTCGCCATCAAGCCTTCAGTGGGTGTTGGATTGGATGGACCTTCCAACCTCCATTAGAGGAGGCAATCTTGTGCATGTGAAGAAGAGGGATACCGTACTTTAGTTTCCCTTAGGATCTGTCACCTCAACCTCCAATGTCCTTTCCCGCTTCCCTTCCCTCCCCGCGCATACAACAGTAGTTCTACCTTGTACGGTACCATGGTCCTCGATCCCCCATAAGCTGTGTGTGTGTCCTTGTGTGCTCTGTTGTTCCTCACTGCTGTAAGCATGTGGTCACGAGTGAAACCGTTGTTCACTGGTCCATCGTGAGTCCATCTCAAATTCTCAGCTTCATCCACGTCCAGATGTGCTGCTGGTAGTCTGGTGTGGTTGCCGGCAGTGGGCACATCTCCTGGAATCCACCGTGAGCAGCAGCAGCGGCCAGGTCTCAACTCCACCCAGGACATCTCAGGGAGGGGGGTATCAGAATAATTGAATGATAGTAAAGAGAGAGTACACACAAATATATCTAAGTTTTGTATCCTCTAAGAGGTGACTCTATACAGTCTATACAAACATGACAAATACACATGTTTGACACACCCCCTAAACAAGCAGCTCAGGGTGGCACTACTAGTCCAACCTCTGAGACAAGGGTCTGAGCGACCGGTCAGAAGGAGTACAGACAAGGCAAGCACAAGAGCAGGGCGGCACTACTAGTCCAGCCACTGGGAGAGGACACAAGTCCAGTCTGAGTATACATATAAAGGACAGTACAAAGTCAAGGTCCTAGCAAGTGAGAGGCTACAGGAACTAGACCAAGCTGTACACAGTGCCGCTGATGATCTTTAGGCGCAAGCGCCTTCGTAAAGATATCAGCCGTGTTGGCACCTGAGGCCAAGTGTACTACGCGAGCCTGACGTCGCTGCTGTAGCTCACGCAGGAGGAAGTACCGCAGCTGAATGTGCTTCGCTCTGCCCTCGAGTCGAGGCTCCTGACACAGGAGGATCATGGCCCTGTTGTCAGCGAACAGGACCGGGGCAGAGCTAGGCCGCTCACCTAAGTCAGTGAGCAAGAAGGTCAGCCAGCGGAGCTCCTGTGCCGCCATGGCACCGGCGTAGATCTCAGCCTCACAGCTGGACTGTGCAACCGACGAGGAGCGAGTAGCTCTCCACGAGACGGCACCTGAGCCAAGGCTGAAGCAGTAGCCCTGGGTAGACCGGAGTGTCTCAGCGTCGTCTGCCCACGAAGCGTCTGTGTGCCCAGTAAGGACCGCTGGCCTGCGTCCTCCTAGCACTAACCCCATGCCCGATGTACTAGCAAGATAACGCAGAACCCTCTTAGCGGCAGACCAGTGCTGCGGTCGGTGTCTGCCTGTGGCCACAAAGCGAGCCAGGATGCTGAGAGGGTATGCGAGATCTGGGCGAGTGCAAGTCATCAGGTACATGAGGCAACCCACCAACTCTGCGTAGGGGCCGCTGGGCTCTACCAACTCCTCAGGCACTGGAGCGGAGAGCCTGTGGTCTACAGGCAGAGGGGTGGGCTGTGCAGAGGAGAACTGAAGGCTGAACCTCTGAAGGACCTGGCGCACCAAGTGTGACTGAGTCAGGGTGATGGTGCGCGCAGCTCTGTCCCTGGAGATCTGCAAGCCAAGGTAACGGCGCAGTTCTCCAAGGTCAGTGCAGGTGTGTCTCTTCAGCAGCTCTGCCTTCACGGAGGCCAGCGCGTCCCTGTCTGCTGTGGCAAAGACCAGGTCGTCGACGTAAACGAGGATGTAGAACGGAGTCTGGCCAGCACGAACGAAGAGTGAAGGGTCTGCAGAAGACGGAAAGAACTGCAGGTCAGCAAGCGTAGCACGCAGAGTGTCGTGCCACTCACGGGGAGCCTGGCGCAAGCCGTAGACGGGCGCCGCAGGAGCCACTGGGTCCCAGAAGGGAAGGTGCCAGTAAAGCCCGGAGGACGGCGCAGGTAGACCTGGGGAGCAGCCTCGGAGAGGAAAGCAAGCTCGAACTGGCGGTCCTCCAGGACGTCACTGCCAAGGGCA